TTTTTCTTAATTATGTGATCACAAGAATGAAAAACAAAATTACAGCTCAGGAAAAGAAGTTCAACTTTTTCAGAAGTAGAAATTCTAGAATATTCAGTGGTAAATGAAAACAAGGCTTATTAACTTTCAGTCCTCGCAGTTTACCAGTTATGCTTATCATGGAAAAGCAAAGCAGAAGGCGTACAACACTCAGGAGCTGTCTAGGACACTCCTCATTTGTGATAGAATTTTTAACATGAATAATTATACTGACTCCTGATGATTCAGAGTGACACTTTCTAATCATGTTTATATTTACATGTAAGGCTAAAGAAAAACTCAATATTCACACATAATTAAAAGATAATATATCAGAACTAGTGCATGTGATATAAATACATTTTAAATTATATCACAACATTTAGCAGATTATTTATCAATAACTAAGAATCTCAATTAACTTCCTCATAAACCACACAGCAAAGTAACTGCTAGTCCAGAAAATGGAAAGCAGACATGGAAGATGTATAATAAGCATTTGGGGGATACAGAATTCATCCCGTGAGTGTCACAAAGAGCTCGTAATTCAGGAGTGCCAAAGCCCAAGTGTGTTATGAGGGTCCTTCCTCAGAAGTGACATTAATTGCACATCCCACAGATGCTTATTATGCACTCTATTTATATCAAAGCACAAAATATAGTCAAAATGCACAGATTCAATATATTTGAAGGTATTAATAAAAACAGTTACTCTAGTAAATGTTTAACTTAAATTTCAATTTTATTCTCTTTGTAAAAGTGTAGTGTAGCAATATTAAGTGAAAAGAATACTGAATTTCTGTATGATCTTTTGTGATGAAGATTGGACAATATGGAAGTGATTAGTCATGGGAGCATAACAAATACTTTAGACACTTCTGTACAAAATTTTCAAGTGATGAAATCACAGGACATTCTTGTCCTGCATAAAATGAAAACATATAGACATAACTCTGCAAACTGAAAATAATATATTCAAACCCTTGTTTTGGAAATTGGTTATTGTGCATCAAGAGCTTCTATTATAAAACCTATTTTTAAAAAAACCCAAATACCAATCAATAATTGCTAAGCAAAATACAATCCAGGCATGTTTATTATATTCAACCAAAGCTAGCAGAGTTTTATCTAAGAGCAGCAAGAGAAATTTTTGCAAAAATTTAAAAATTTAAAAGCCCAGTGCAAGCTAGTTTTACCATGTATTATTTTATAATGTCACATGTTAAACATGTACTTGCAGGTTAATTTTAACCTAACAAAACTGATTTAACATTTGCTAACAATAGCAAAAATAAATGCAAAAATTTTTAATTATCTAGGAGATAATGTACAACATGTACAATCTGTAGTAAGTTATGCACTGTATAGCATTCAGGATTTCACGAGTATTTATTCTCATATTTCAAGGTAGATAATCATCAATTTACCAATAATTAGGGCAAGCTAATTTGGAATAATGTTATCCAATGTCAGCGCAATTAATATTTTGTCAATAACCATTGATCCTAATTTTAAATAATTTTGTTAGCCAAATGTAGTGCATATGTTTATACACAGCACATCTTCCACCTCAGGAGACTTGAAAACAAATTCATGATTGGTTTTAAAAATGGAGTAACACTGTTATTATAAAAGACAATTATAATGCCACTAGAAAACAAATTTAGATAATTTTTAAAGTATTATAGCTTAACTAAAATTAGAAACTGGAACTCACTATTGGATATACATCAGCCTAGTTTCTAGCACCTTATCCCAAATACTTAAGTTATTTCTCATTGTATTCAAGTCAGTGATAATGGTCAACATTTTACCATCAGTTTATACATTACTGATATTTTCCTGATACAATTTTCTAATTTTGTTGAAAAATCTAATTTTCAAGAAAATACTTATTTTGGTCGAAGCCACTACTTGCAACCCAGCACTCCGTGTGGGCACTGATTTACGTCCCTGCTGCTCCATTTCTGAAACCGTCCCTTGCTGGGTGGGAAGTGGGACAGCCTGGGACTCACACCAGTGCCCATACAGAATCCAGGCGCAAGCAGGGTGAGGATTTAGCCCGTAGGCTATCATGCTGGGTCAGTCATCTTAATCTTAACATCTTAATTGCTAGGGCAAAAGTCACCTCATGAGCATTTTTATGACCTATAAACTTGATCATTTCATATTTTCCCCACTGATGATAATATACTCAAACCAGAGACTACATTTCAAGTATTAATTTTGACTCTAAAATTCACAACTTCTTCCAACAAGGAGTGGCATTAGCAATTAGACCAATAATACCTCTACAATATAGAAAAAAGCAAAATATTCCAATAATTTCCACGAGATACAAAGCTACACTAAGTGCTAAGTTTGAAGATACACAGTTACTGTGCCAAGTTGCTGTGATAATTTCTAGAAGTTTATTCTCAACTTCTACACCATCTCTTTAGAAATGATGGATGTTACTAGATCCTAAATATATAGAAGCCCATATGCTTCAATGAAGAAAATACACAAAGTCAAAGAGCTGAAATAGTTCATGATCAGACAGCTAGGGTATCCTAATTAGGCAACGGTAACGACAGACAATGATAATAAAGGTGTTTCCAAATACATGACACACGTTTACTATGTAGAAAGCGCGACATCTTTGTATACCGTGACTTAATTGTCAAAGTCAATTTACAGACACATTCTAGATTTCCATTTCACAAACAAAAAACAAGAGTTCAAAGTGGCCTGTCCATGTCAAAGTCTGTGCGTCTCTACACTACTTTATATTATTCTTTGATTTCAGAATTTTTAACAGTTATCAATAAGAAGCATACAGATGGAATAACATAGCATAGGGTAGCACACAGGGCCATAAGAAAATTCAATCAAACAAACTTCCATGTACCACATAAATATAAATAAAATTCTGCTAAAGCAAGGAATGGGTTAAGTAAAATCCTTCCATTATAAAGTGAGATATAGGCCCAAGTGAAACACTGAGTAACCTCCTGCTCGCCTTGAAGTAGACCCACGGGACGGCCCTGGCTCCTGACTTTGACTTGGTCCAACCAAGGCTGTTAACCATGTGGGGAGTGAACCAGTGAATGCAAGATGTCTCTTTCCCTTTTTATCTCTGCCTCAATCTCCCTGAAATTTTTCCTTCCAGATAAAATTATGTCACGGGTCATGGAATATTACTGGGAAGCAATTGGTCAAGATGACAAGAAACTCTGTGAATTATTATAAGGAAGAGAAAATGGAAGGAAACTAACACCTGAAAAGAAACAAGGACATCCCGGATATGAATTATTCTACACAAGCCCGTGTCACGGCCACTGCAGTATAAATGTCCAGTTCAGGAAAAGAGGCAAAATACTGTAAAGCATTTCAAAGAAGTAAAAATATTATCTGAATCAATTTTTCCCAATATTTAAGACCAATCTTTAGATAATAGTATACAACTTTTCAGAGTATAAATAGACTTTTAGATCTGAATACAATTAAGCCTCAGTGTGTACAATGTAGAGGAAGATAGAATTTAATTCCTAACCTTGTTACAAGCTATATTAAAATAACTTTTATGTCTACCATTATAAACATATTAGACTTCTAAGTACAGACAGCCATTCATTAATAAACTATCGTGCTACCCAATACCCACGTCAAACGCCACCTTCTCATTGCAGTGGGAAGAATGGTGCTGTTTTCAGTGATGAGGTCAACCTTAAGTCGTAGGAATGAAAACAAACAGCACTAACACAGGAAGGCGGACTTCTTTAATCAGAGTTCAGGGCTTCCAGAGCAGAAAAATAATGGAGCTTATTATAAATTAAAGACTATGCGTAAGGTGAAAACATAAATAAAACACTCATTGATTATTTTGTCTAGGTTAAATAAACAGCCCCATGACGGTCTTAAACTTTCAACTTGTTTGGGATTCTCTGCATTTCAGACAATGAATTCATAACTTGGTGAGCATCTGCCATGCATAACTTCACAGTACCTTCTTAGGCAGACATTTTCTCCCTAACGCAGTCAGGTGGTGCAGGAAATATCGACCAAGAAAACGCTCTGTGCTGGATATGAATATTTTGTTATTTCAATTTAAAGGACTCTGCTGTCTGTAGCATTACACAGTTTACTCGTAATAATTAAAGCTATGATTTTTCTAATTTATCTACACAATTTATAGCCACTAAAAGTTGTACAGCACTCCTCACGTATCTAAGCAGTGCTGTAGTATGTATTACAGGAAAATGAGTTTGACTTTGATGTGATCAGTGCATAGCGCATGCCTTTATTGAACATCACACTGCACCCAGTGAATACGTTCATTAATGACAGACGCTGTGAATTACGGAAGGATAGCAAAGATAAACTTGAGCTGATTTTGACATACTGACTACATGTACTGAACTGTCACATTGTTCTCCATAAATACATATAATTAAAATGTTTAAAATAAAAGAAGCTAAGCAGCTGAAAAAAAATTTAAGTTCACTGAGAGGGACATGAATCTTACCAAAAGAAATCGCCATGAATCTCTGCTGGGACTGCTTGGCTCGGAGGCGGGCTCCTGCGTAGACTCACTCCCGGTGCAGGGCTGCACCGCTCAGACCGTGTGGCTTAAAGATCTGCCATCATCATTTTGAGGTCCTTACTGATCTTTTTTTTTTTTAACAGAAGCTCGCATTTTTTTTTTTCAAACAGGACTCTGCAAATTATGTAGCCAATCCTGTCTGAATCTGATTTGTCAATTCATTGTTTAATATGTGTAAAATTGGTTTAGGTTTTAGTTTCTTCAACTATAACAAAGATATAATAAATACCCAGTTATTATTACAACAGGCTTACAGCACGGTACATAGGACCATAATACACATGTAAAACAAAGTGGAGCTGAAATAGAACTAGTCCCACTTTTAGGTATCTCAGACATGTAAAAGCTTTTTAAAATCGCAATTAGATATAGTTAAATTTGAGACTTTAACACTTACAAGCCGTATATCTGTGGTGCAATTTCCAGTCTGTTCAAGTGCATGTAGAGTTCAATATCATGCTTCTTCAGGAGATGGTCTTGGATTTGGTTGACTTTAGTAACAATTGCAATTGTTGGCCCTAAATCCTGTGGTCTAGCAAAGGGAATAGGAGTCATCAACGTTTCCTTCCCCTAAAACAAGCAAAAATAAAATATGTATTATTTCCATATGAGATTAACAAATATATGTACATAATGAAAGTTGAAACAAGAACAAAAACCATCTCATGGCCAATGCTTTAAATGTACAATCACGTGCTAACATCCAATGATTGTGCGTAAGGATACAGCCAGAAACTGTTCCAAGAGATCTTCCGTCGTGTATTCCCTTGACTCATTTCCCCTTGTCAAAACAACTTTTCTCCCCCTTCAAGGTTTATTTTTCATTTATTTAGAAGTCAGAGTTAGAGAGTTGCTTCGTGACTGCCAATGGCCAGGGCTGGGCCAGTACCAAGCCAGCAGTCAGGAGCATCTTTTGGGTTTTCAACGTGGGTGCAGGACTCCAAACATCTGCTTTCCTGCTCTTCCCAGGCACATCAGCATGAAGCTGGACAGAAGTGAAACATCTGGGACTCAAACTGGCACCCATCTGGCTTTGCCCCACTATGCCACAATGCCAACCTGTGGCACTATATTTCTTATAAGGTAATTTTGAGGTAGTGGGGCCACTACCATCTGTCCGCAGTCAGTTTAGCTGACCATCTGTAGCATACAAGAGGTACCTTGATAAAAATCTACTGCTTGGGGCATACATTTCAACATTAAAAATAGTACATGAAAACTTTTCTAATCTGAGCTAAGAAAAAAAGATTTAAAAAATTGGAGGAAACCAGACTTTAAAGCAAATTTGTTATCTAAACATCTTTTTAAATTACATAGCCAAGTAAAAAGATTTCAAAACTGTCTAAGCCAAAAAGTATAGGTGACTTAAAAAAAAAAAAAAACAACAGGTTGGATCAACTTGTCTTTCCGCTCTCCCTTGTCCACATAAAGCGATCTGTTACCAGCTCCTTCTAATGCTTGCCGGTAAACGCCAACACTTCATACAACTTCCCCAAGCCCAGCGATTTTTCCTAACAGATTGTGTCTTCCCTTTCTTGTGACATTCAGTGCTCAGGTTCAACCTTTTCCATCATGACACTGACAGCATCTTGGCCGTGGGGTTTGGTCTACCCCTCACTCTCAGTTTCTCTACCTCATATTCTTCTAATTTTCAAATTCTGCTTTTTCATGTAGCTCTGGTATTAGCTGCACTTTATAATCATCCTGACATGCTATCCCCAAGCGATCTCACACACTGCTTCTACCGATGCTAGTGTTCCCGGGATGTATTCTTAGCCTAGAACTCTTGAGTGCCTCCAATAAATTCAAACGTTGGCAAGGAATCCTGGACTGCTAGCAGCTTTCTAATTCTGCAGTCCTACAACTGAGCTTAATCATCTTCTGCTCAGAAACATGTTCCTCCCTTCCCTTCCGCCCACCTCAAGCCTTCTGCAATTTTGCTTATTTTAGCTCCTTGGTACCACTTTTATCTGTCCTTTTTCCTACTGCCCAATTGTCACAATATGATTTGAGGGCCTAATAATTTCTTTCCTGTTCACTGCTCTACGTGCCTCTAAATTTACGATCTATTTAACCTGCCAAAGCATGAAAGGTGAGTTCTTTAAAATGGAAACTAGATGAGGCCAGAACCGTGGCACAAACTGTAAAGCCTTCAAATGCAGTGCAGAATCCACATGGGCGCAGGTTTGCGTCTTGCCGCTCCACTTCCCATCCAGCTCCCTGCTGATGGCCTGGGAGAGCAGCGCAAGATGACCCAAGTGTGTGAGCGCCTGTACGCATGTGGGAGACCTGGGTGGAGTTTTTGGCTCTAGGTTCATTCTGGCTCAACCTGGCTGTTGCAGCCAACTGGGAAATGGACCAGCAGATGGAAAATATTCTCTCTCTCTCTATATATATACCTCTGGCTTCCAAGTAAATAAAATAAATCTGAAAAATAGAAAACAGGGCCCAGTGCAATAGTGTAGTGGTTAAAGTCCTCACCTTGCACAGGCTGGAATCCCATATGGGCACCGGTTCTAATCCCATCTAGCTTCCCATCTAGCTCCCTGCTTGTGGTCTGGGAAAGCAGTCGAGGACGGCTCAAATCCTTAGGACCCTGCACCTGCATGAGACCCAGAAGAGTTCCTGGTTCCTGGCTTCAGAGTGGCTCAGCTGCAGCCATTGCAGTCGCTTGGGGAGGGAACCATTGGATGGAAGATCTTCCTCTCTGTCTCTCCTCCTCTCTGTATATATCTGCCTTTTCAATAAAAATAAATAAATCTTAAATAAAAAGAAAGAAAGATAAAACACATTACAGAAAATTCCCTTGCTAAGCTCTTTGTCAGTGTTCCATCATTTCCATTCACAAATAGCACATGAATACCTTAGGCCGCTGAGGCCTTTTGCCAACTGGTCAACCCCTCCTGAAGCCTGCTTCCAGGTCCTGAGGACGCCATTCTCCCAGCTGAAACATCACCTTCTCAGTACTTTCACTAAGGAACTCAAATGTACACTTAAATCTCGTGCTGAAGCCTATTGTTACTTCTCCAACTTCCCCTCTCTCATGATCTATCCTTTACTTCCTGTCTCTCCTCCTAACCTCTGAGATCTCTGCAGGGAATGCCGTGCTTTTATCAGTGAATAGCTCTGACAACAACGATAAAGAAGACAAAGTACTGTAGAAAAGACTAAACAGAACATCCCAGAACTCCACATCAGACCACCTGCTCATCGGCCTGGAGCATACCCAGTGGGGACCGGAAGGAAATGTAGGTAGAAGGGAAGACTTGCTGGAAGATTCTGCCCAGAGTCATTTCAAATCCGCTTTGTGTTCCCTATACCGTGCTCTTGTATCTTCACCCAAAGGTTATAAGACCTTATTAATTTTTATAATTCAATTCATTTGTGTTAATTTGGATAGACAATAGAAAATGAACCTCTAAAGAGGTTGCTCATGGCTAATTTTAGAATCTGAAATATGAAATATTCCAAAAGTCTCCAACTAGTTGAGCACTGATATGATGCCACAGTAGGAAACGGTACACCTGCCTTTGTGACTGCTCATGCTGAATGCCAGGCATAGGAAGTAACGGCGACATTGCCCTTGGCTGCCTGTATAAGGTGGGTCCAAAAGAAAAGTGAATGTTGTCTTTACACTTGGGGCCATTCCCAGGAGACTTCACTATGTGCACGCAAATAGATTCAACCCCCAAATCTGTGAATCCACACACCTCAGGCCCCATGCGTAAGGGTACTCTCCAGGGAGCATGGGCACTTCTCTGAATTTTTACTATCCAGTATTCTCTTCAAATGATAGGATGTTTTAATGAAAAAATTTCATCCCTATCAAAATCATACTGACATTCAAATAATTTTTAATGATGTTAACATCTGGGGCAAATAACTTTTACTAATAACCGATTTAACAATTCACGCATTTTGAGGCTGGTGTTATAGCGAAGCCCAGCGCCTCATGGAGTGACCAGTCTGAGTCCCAGCCGCTCCACGTGCTAGTCAGCCTCCTGCTCACACCTGGAGGGCAGCCGAGCACAGGCCAAGGGCTTGAGCTCCTGGCACACACTGCGGAGACACAGGAGTTTCAGCTGCCAGGCCCCTAGTGCGTTCTGCAGGAGTGAGCCAGCTCACCAAAGCTCTCTCTCTCACGCACGCTCTTCCCACCTCTCTCGGAGTCTAGCATATTTCGGTGACACAGTTTGTCTTCAGCAGAGAACTGCTGAGAGGAGACACTGAGCTCAGGTAAGATTTGTTTTCCACTCAATTACTTTCTTTTCTTTCTTTTTTTCTTTCTCTTTCTAATATTTGGAGTGAGAGAGATGTTTCTACTTCCAAGATGACCACAACAGACAAACCTGGGTTAGACCAACGCCAGGAGCCAGGAGCCTCTTCTGGGTCTCCCACAAGGATAGCAGGTGCCCAGGTATTTCGGCCACCTTCAGCAGGTGTAGTGGCAGGGAGATGGATCAGAAGCTGAGCAGCCGAACACAAATAGGAATGGCACGGCAGGCTGCAGCTTAACGTGCTGTGCGACAATGCTGGCCTCAGGTAAGGTTTCTAAAATCATGCAGCATATCTACTCATCTTCTAACTATCTTGGATAAACAGAATTATACAAAATACAATCAATAGCTGTGGAGAGAACCGATCCTAAATCGAACCATTCAAATCATGTTTAACTTAATCAAATTATATGATCAATGCCTATTTTGAACAGAATGAGCTGTCATTAATCAGCAGCACATGTACTTTGTTTTTCAAATTATGTTTCCAATAGGGATTGACGTGTAAGTTAAAAATATGTGCTGATACAAACAGTGCTTTGGAAAGATTTCCACTTTGCATGGAAGACTTAAAATCTCATAAGCAAAAGAAACTCAAAAGTAATACTTATGATCATTTATAGCAAAATGGAAAGTATCTTGTGTGGTCTTAGCTACTTTCATAAGCTGGAAGTGGTAGTATCAGCATCTACTGTGAGGCAGGACTCAGAAGATGTAGCCTTCACAATTTAAATATCTATTTCCCAGATATTGTTAGAATCAGTCACAAAATACAAAATGTCCACAGCATGAAATGTTGACCCCTGTTCACAATCCTGGTGCTCACGGAAGTTGTGACTTCATCAAATCCCTTGTCCGGGAATCTAGTTTGTCGAACGCGTGGACAGCAGGTCTCACCTTCAGAAGCCTTGCTAGAATAGAACTTGTTGGTACAAGGAGAAATACTTTAACACCTGGGGTAGTAAATGTTTCAGGCTTTACAGGTGACATAATCTGTGTGGTATGATGGCAATTACTACCATAATAACGACCAGGCAGCCACAAATGACAAATGAACAGATGCAAATGGCTATGCCCCAACGAAACTTTCTATTCATGAACACGTTAATTTGAACTTCATGTAATTTTCATGTGTCACAAAATATTATTTTTCCTATAGATATCTAACCGCTTAAAAAAGCAAAACCTTTCTTAACTCATAAGATGTACAGAAACAGATAGATGTTTGGGCTTAATCTAAGAGCCCTCACATTAGAAGCATCAGTTCCACATTTTAACTTTTTAAGAACCAGAATAAAGTGACTGAATAAAATGCAATTTCTAAACAGAATGCAATAAACTAAACCAACACAGAAGAAGATAACCATACTAGGAAGAACCCCATATATTCTTAACAACATTTACTGCCAACAGAAGTCAAAATTTTTACAATATCATGTGATAATAAAAATATCATGATGATCTTTAAGATAACATCTATTTTAGGTTAAAAATGATAATTAATGCAGCAACTAGAAATACTTCAGGGGAACTGAAAACATATGTTCACACCGAAGTATGTACCTCAATTTTATAATAACATTATACACAATAGTGAAAATGAGAAGCATTTGAATGCCTTTCAGTTTATGCAGACATAAACAAAACACTGTATATCTATATAATGGAACTTTATTCAGCAGTGTAAGGGAAAGAAATATTTAAATGATACAGCATGGGTGACTAATGAGAACATTACGCTAAGTTAAAGGAGGTGGCCCTAACAGGTAATATGTGCCATGATCCCATCGACATGAAATTCTGAGGATCATTACATTCATTGAGGTAGAAGGGAGATTAGTGACGCCAGGGATTATGGACAGGAAAGAATGAGGAGTGACCTCTAATGGGCATGGGGCTTCCTTCTTGGGGATACAAACGTTCTGTAATTAGTGGATGTTCTAAAAAGAACTACAATGTATTAAGAAAGTAAAAGTTATGTGAGTTGCATCACAATGAAAATACAGTTAGGATAAGAGGCTGGCTCTGTGCATTCCTATTGGGGTGCAGGTTCAATTGCAAGCCCCGCTGCTCTATTTTTGATCCAGCTCCCTGTTAATGTGCCTGGACAACAGTGGCCCGAGTGCTTGGGGCCCCGCAGCTCTATGGGAGACCTGGAAGAACCTCCTAAATCCTTGCCCCAAAGTGTCCCATTTTTTGCCACGGTGCTCATTTGGAGAGAGAAGCAGGAGATAAAATCTATCTCTCTTTTGCCTTCTCTTTCTGATCCCTCTTTTGAGCACTCTCTGTCTGTAAATCTTTCAAATAAAATAATTGATATTTTTATTTATTTTTTAAGATGTATTTTAAGGTATACAGAGAGGAGGAGATACAGAAAGCAAGACTTTTCATCTGTTGATTCACTCCTCAAGTGGCTGCAATGGCCGAAGCTGAGCCGATTCGAACCCAGGAGGCAGGAACCTCTTCTGGGTCTCCCATGTGGGTGCAGGGTCTCAAGACTTTGGGCCATCCTCGACTGCTTTCCCAGGCCACAAGCAGGGTGCCGGATGGGAAGCGGGCTGCAGGGATTAGAACTGGCACCCACATGGGATGCTGGTGCATGGATGTGAGAACTTTAGCTGCTAGGCTACCGGGCCAGGTCCAAATTAACATTTTTTAAAAATGATAAGAGAAAGCATGGGTAAGAATTATTCATGCTTACTATGTGACTTTAACAGCAATATATTGGTAAAAGCTGAGAAATACATTTAACAAAGATTTTTTAAACCTAACTTTAGAAACAATGTTTATATAAACTCACTAGGATAGCAATAGAATGTTTACCACAATTTCATAATTAAGTGGTTATACTATGTGAATAATATATACCAACATAAAGGAAAATTTCTACTTGCTCATATGAAATCTTTATATTTCTACTAAATACCTGCCAACAGTATTAGAGAGATATGTAAGAGGGATTTTAAAGATATTGATGGAAAATGAAATTAAAAGAGAAGCTTATTTTGGTGCCAAAAATGGAAATGTGCATGAAAGAAGTCACCAAAAGTTCAAGAAAAATCAGTATTACAAAAAAGCTGCTAGTCCATTTCCATATTTTGCACCAAAATAAACTTTAAGGGAAAAAAAACCTATTTCTTTATTAGACAAAAAAATAAACAAAGGAGACACAGAGATCTTCCATCTGCTGCTTCCCCTAAATGCTCCCAACACAGAACTGGGTGAGGCAGGCAGCAGCCAGGAGATGGGCTCTCCCAGGAGCGTGGAGGGAGACAGCCTTCAGCTGCTGCCTCTCACCTCCCCAGGTGCACATCCGCAGGAAGTTAAGTCAGAAGTGGAGCTGTTACTCAAGCCCAGTCACTCCAACGGGGATTAGTGTATCACACGTGGTGTCTGCCCCTAAACTTGTTTTTTAGTTCCATTATCCCCCAATTATTGAAGTAGTCATGCAGCTTTCTAGGTTATTTTTATTGTCTACTATAGCAATAGTAATGGCTACATATTATATATTATAATCTGATTACACCAGGGAAATACGTTATTTTGGTACAAAATATTATTAGAAACATGAATAACTTTTCCATAATAAATATTTTTCATGAGGTTTTAAAGGAATGTATTATTAGATTTTCCAGGTCATGTCAAATACATGATAATTACTATAATATAATTCTCAATGCTCATGTTAATCTGATATTAATACCAAAACGACAGATTACAGCTTGTTCATAACCATAATTCTAACAATATATTTCCCTACATCCTTCCATCCATCCTTCCTTATTTAGTCTCTTCATGAAGCTTTTAGACCTTTTGTATGCATAAACTTAAAATTTTTTTGAACAATCTTATACTTTAATTCCATTATATACACCCTTGTATGTGCTTTGATAACATCATTTATCTCAAATCTACTGGAAAGATCAGTACACTTAATGTTTGCCTTTTGGGGCCGGAGCTGTGATACAACGGGTTAAGCTGCTGCTGGCAGCACCAGCAACACACACGGAGTGCCAGTTCAAGTCCTGGCCGCTTAGCTTCTGATCCAGCTCTGCACTAAGCCCCCAGGGAGACAGAGGAGGATGGTTTAAACGCTTGGGCTGCTGCCGCCCATGTGGGAGACCAAGAAGGAGCTCCTGGATCCTGGCTGTGGCCAGCCCAGATTGGATTTCTGTGGCTATCTGGGAAGTGTACCAGTCGATGGCAGACTCTCACTGTCTTTCTCTTGCTGTCTGCCTTTCAAATCAATCAATCAATCTTAAGAAGGATTTTACCTTGTGACCATCATGCTCAAAAGTAGAAAACCAAGGCTCAGCAGTTTCCATGAGTTGTGAGAACATTGCACTAAAATTAGAAAAATAATATAACACTGTGTTTTAAGATTCATTAAAGTAATGATGATTACAAACAAACAAAGTCAAAAAAATTTTTCTACTTACTAGGCATCATGTTCCAGATACTCGGGGTTCAGGAGAGTTTTCATTTCCTCACTGAGAAAAAAAACGATACAAACAATCAAAATGTACATGTTAGCACTGCTATGGATGCAACTTTGCCTTATTTTATGTTCATAAGCCAACATTCCAAAATAGGCTTTAGAATACTCTGTTAAGTACAATCCTTTCTATAAAGATAATAAATGCATTGCTTTCTCAATGCCACAGTTAAGTAACTAATTCTAAAAAGCGTAGACAGTAACAACATACTCTTCGACCATGCTTGATCTAGAACAATTTGCAATCTATGATTTGTTCAAAACAAAACAAATACGTGTGTGTGTGTGTGAGTATTTATACATATATCTGAAAGAGTTACAGAGAGAAGGAGAGAGAGATCCCCATCTGCTGGTTCATTCCCCCAGTGGCGGCACAGGCCAGGGTTGTCAGAACCAGAAGCCTGGAACCCCATCTTGGCCTCTCAAGCAGGTGGGAAGGGAGCCAGCGCTCTGTGCCTACCTCTGCTGCTTTCCTTGGCATACCAGCATGGAGCTGATCACAAGTGCAGCAGCTGGCACTCAGATGGGCACTCATGGACATCCAGAGTTGCAGAATGCTGGTTAACCAGCTGTGTCTCAATGCCAACACCCACTTCAGTTGCTTCACCTTTTCAAAGGACTGAAACCGCTAAAGAAGCAGGCCGCAATCACTTAAAAGCTATTTCCTTATTTTTCCCTGTACTGTTTTCCACATTAAAAAAAAAAAAAAGGAAGGAAAACAAAATCCCCAAACTAACTCATCATTATAGTTTAGATAATTAAAGTGAGAACAACTAAGATATGGTTACTCTTGTCAAAATACAATAAACTGGGAGCACATGTGGAATCCGATGGTGAAGGTGCCTGCAAACCTACAGCGTTACACCTGCATTCAATCTCTTACTGCTCCCCGATTCAAGCTTCCTGTCAAGGCAGAACCTGGGGGTAGCTGGGATGGCTCAGGTGACAGGGGTCCTGCTGTTCACACAGTGGATCCTGCTCAGGCTCAGGGCTTCCAGTCCCAGCTTGACCCAGCTTGACCCAGCCTAGGCATGTAGGTATTTGGAGAGTGAATGAGCAGATGGGACTCTGTGTTTCTAACTTTTAAATAAATTTCTAAAAATCCAATAAATTCAGTAAAATTAGAAAACTTACAGAAAACTTGAACACATTAATCTATAATTTGGTAGACAAAAGTAAATTTAACAAAGGCCTGGATATAGACAGTCACTAAGCAGCATATATATAATTAGACACAGACAATATTCTGCCAGTTCCTGCTTTCTGAACATATGCAGCCTTGCTTGTAGAATATTCTTAACAAAGACATAGAGTTCATCGTCGCCTAGTCCTAAAATGTCTTCCTGGTTGTCTCTCTGACTCATCAGTTAGTGTATTTTTACTTTGAAAAATGAATTCTGATTATATATATATATCAAGTCAAGTAAAATTACAACGGGCATTTGCAGGAAAGAATAAACAACAGCATTTCAACAGGCATTTAGAAGCCACTTGACTTGTTCAGAGACTGAAGTTCCTTGCACCACTGACACATTGCTCACGGAATAAGTGAGTCAAACCTGGTTATGACAATGCATCTCACAGAGAAGCTGTTCTATTTGCTGTGGAAAATAAGTTACTAGGGGGTGGCTGAGATAAGTATTATCAAGCAGTAGCATTTTTGTCATTACAATTGATTCACTAATGATTTTTAAGATACAGACTTAAAATTTTCAAAGATATATTTATGATTCCCAATTTGTCCCATAGCTAAACTGGCATTAGAGTTGTCTGGTAAGAATAACAGTCACTCACACACACACACACACACACACACACACACCCTTACAAGTATCTTCCATTTAAAAGAGTTTAAGATAAAAACCAGAGTCTGGCACGGGCTGAAAGCCCAGGTGGGACTCTTGAGGACACTTGCCTGGGTTGGGCAGACTCACTGGCATGCAGAAAGGCCTGGTGGTCGCAGTGTAGGGTGAAGACAATGGGTGCCAACAGCTCGTGCATGCCCTGCAAGAGAAAGCCCAGAGAAAGCAAAGGGACTGGCACTCAGAGCTTGTTCGTGGACAGTTTAAGCTCTCCAACCCTTCAACTGATTCCTTTGCCAAGATCTTAATCTTCTATAGAAAATCATATAAAGGGCAAACTACCAAATGAGATTTTATCCACTTTCAGAGTTTAATTCCAGTTAACCTGCAGTACATACTCTTCTTTAAAACATGGGAAACAGTTCTCTTTAAAATGATATGACAAACAATAAATTGGCATGGTAGGCAACCTTGCACCTGTCAGTTGCTACAAGAACTGTACTCATAAATATGAATTTCATTTATGCAAATCATAATCATGAGCTACAGTGTAAAGACCTGCAGTAAGAAGGGTAACTAAGAACTGTAGACCTAAGGAAATTATATCCAATGTTTTCATTATATAATGGTTCAAAATTAGGATGTCTGTAGATTTAGGAAGAGCTAGAGGCAGCTGGCTAGACATGCTGGATAAGAAAAGAAACAACCTTTAGCAGGTATAACAGAAGTAAAGTTTTAAAAGTGATTTTCAATCTGCTAAATGAGAAAATTCTATTTTCCTGTCCACTTCACTAATAAAGCTAGCTCTTATTGTATCTAAAATTTTCACCAATACAATTTGTTTCCTTTACATTGAGGTTCACCTGTGGATTACACTGATAGCCACAGAAATAAAAAGTTATAATATTAGTTACTGAGCTGTCTTAAAAAGAAATTAAAACAATCAGGGCCTGGCGCAAGGGCTTAGTGGCTAAATCCTTGCCTTGCATGCACCGGATCCCATGTGGGTGCTGGTTCCTTCCTGGCTGCTCCACTTCCCATCCAGCTCCTTGCTTGAGGCCTGGCAAAGCAGCAGAGGACGGCTCAAGGCCATGGGACCCTACGCTCACATGGGAGACCTGGAAGAAGCTCTTGTCTCCTGGCTTCGGATCAGCTCAGCTTCAGCAATTGCAGCCACTGGGCGGAATGAACCAGTGGACAGATCTGTCTGTCTGTCTCTCTCTCTTTCTCTTTGTAAATCTGCCTTTTCAATAAAAATAAATATTTTTTTAAAAAGACATTTAACAATGCATACTTCTAGCTGTTGAGGACATAAGGTATTTCATATCAAAGATTAGGCTTACTAAGAGCTCTCCTTATCACTCCACCAAACGCCGTCTTTAGGCGATGTAAAGTAGATTATACTGCACCCTGCTCTTAAAGTGAGCAAATCACCAAGTTCCTTGTACATGTTAGCAAAACACTCCTTTAGAGGAAATAAAGTATTGGAGTGAAGAAGAGAGACGTTTTTAGCTCTTAGAATGAGAGAAGGCTTCCTGGCATGGAAGGATAGATTCACAAAACCTGCTGGCTCAGTCTAGCTGTACCGTGTTACCCTTCAGGAGTTTCAGACTTCAGTTAGAAACAGTCACCAATAACCTTAACCTAGAAGGGTTTCATGAAATTTTAAATAAAATGCTTCATGATCCATTGCCAATTTGCTTGACTTAGGACATACTACTAAATATAATTTCAATTTTTTAGGCTTGCATATATTTTAGCACACAGAAGAAATCCAGACAACATGAAATTAGATGTTGAATACATTTTAACGATTTCCACAAGGGTTTTTCAATTCTTAGAATAGTCTTGCTATTCAAAAAGAAAGTGCCATGATTTTGATCATCAAAGTAATAGTTGCATAGTAAAAACTATGGAAAAGCAAACTTAGAAAGGAAGGAAGATAGATCACTCAACCAAAAAACAAAGAATGCAAAAGAGGGAATGAATGGGAGGTAGAAATTTAAAAAATATAATATACATTACTGTGGTAGTCTTTCTACTTCTGCTGGCTTCCTTAGGATAAAGTCGGTAAGAAGTAGAATCAAGGGGTGTTGAAGGAGGAAGAGATATAGGAATTAAAAACCAAAGTATATGTCACTGTGGTCATCTTTTTGCTTGTTTCTGATTGCTTCCTTAGGACAGTCTTTAGATGTAGAATTTCTGGGTGACCGGGTACAGGCATCTGCGCAACTGTCTTATTCCCTCCCGCAGGAATCCTCACTGTAGCACAGAAAACCAGCACCTCACACATCCCAATCTATATGTGGCGAACACAAAAATCTTTTCAAATGGTTTAAATGCTACTAGAGATTGAATTCCAACATTTGGCATTTTATTCAGTCGGTTGTTCACTTTGTTTTAATGAATCATCTCCTCTTCCCCAATGATGTGTTACAGTTCATCGCCAATTAAATACTAACCCTTTGTCATTTTTTGTTATAAATATTTCCCATGTATATCATCTGTCTTTTAATTTTGATTATGACATCTTATTTCATAGTGAAATTATAAACTTCAAAATAGTCAGTGCAATAATTCATGTTTCATGATTTCATGCCTGGGAAGCTTTTCCTTACACTGACATTAAGAACACAGCTTCCTTTGTTTTCTGTTAATTCTCACCTACCTGACACTAGTTTCAATTCCTGACATGAAGAATAAGTATTTTTCTAAAAAAGAATTAGACTAATGTATTGAACAATCATCCTTCATTCAATAAATTGAATGTTTTCAGTAAGTTGAATAGTCTATCTCTTCCCAAGTGGTTTGAGAAGCCCTCTTTACTATAAATTGGACATAAAGTTACATCTTTTCCTAGGTTTTTGCTGATAGCTCACTTTTGCATTATTTGCATATTTTTATGCTTTATTTATTTATTTGAAAGGTAGAGCTACAGAAAGGGAAGAAGGGAAGGAAAGGGGAAAGAGAGGGAGGGAAATAATGATGGTCAGAGAGGAGGAAGTTATGGGAGCGATCTTCCATAAACTGGCTCACACCCCAGTGGCCCAGGAACCAGGAGCTAGGGACTCGAGCCAGTCCTCCCATGTAGTTGGCAGAGTTTAAGCACTTGCACATCTCTCACTGTCTTCCCAGGTACATCACCAGGGAGCTGGATTCGAAGTGGGGCAGCTGCAACTCAAGCTGGCACTCCCAAATGGGATGCTGGAATTGCATGTAGTCATTTGCTGATAATACAAATCATAATCCCGGTTTGTACATTCTTTCTTTGGGATTAAAAAAAAAATGTTTTATTTATTTATTTGAGAGACAGAGTTACAAACCATCACGATGGCTGAGTGGCTCAAACCTCCCCTGGTACAACCAGGATCCCATGTGGGTGCTGGTTCATGTCCTGGCTGCTCCACTTCCCATTCAGCTAACTGCTTGTGGCCCAGGAAAGTAAAAGATAATGGCCCAAAGCCTTGGACCACTGCAACCATGTGGGAGACCTGGAAGAAGCTCCTGCCTTTGAATCAACTCGGCTATGGCCATTGGGTCCACTTGGGGAGTGAACTAGCAGACGGACGGTCTTTCTGTATCTCCTTATCTATGCAAATTTGCCTTTCCAATAAACAAAAAATTAAATCTTAAAAAAAAAAAAAGGGTTAGAGAGAGAGGTCTTCCATCCACTGTCTCCATGCCCAAAGCCAGGAGCTTCTCTTTGGTCACTCACCAGCTGCAGGGGCCCAAGGCTTTGGGCCATCCTCTGCTGCTTTTCCTGATCCAGGAAACTAGATTCCAAGTGGAACAAGCAGGGACTTGAACTGGCACCATATATGATCCGTGGTCACTCTACCTACTATGCTACAGGGCCAACTATTTTTCTTAAGACCTGCACCATTATAACTACTGACCTTTAAAATATTCTAATCTTTCACTCTATTTTTCCAAATTACCTGGCCAATTACTCTTTCAAAATTTTTCTTTCAACATTTCTTTCAAACATTTTTCTTTCAAAATTGTTTATGCTTTACACGAAAGGCAAAGAGACAGAGGAAGACAGGGAGGGAAAGTAGAAACAAAGGAATCAGATAAAGATCTTCCCTCTGCTGAATTATAATGAAATACAGGCAAAAACCAGATTGGTTGGGCCTAATGCTGGGAGCTGAGACCTCCACTCAGGTCTCCGACACGAAGGGCAGGGGCACGAACATTCCAGCTAGCATTGCTTCCTCCCTGAGTGAGCTTCACCGGGAAGCTGGAATCGGTGGCAGAGTTGGAACTTGAACCCAGGCCATCCGATACAGGATGCGGGCATTCCAGGCAGCATTTTAATTTCTAAAGCAAAGGCCAATCCTCTGTCTATTATAGCTTGATTTTTTTCTTCCACTTATACTTAACTATCATTTAGTTATATAAAACACCATAGAAAACACTTTTACATATTAGTGGTATCACATTAATATTAACTTGAGAAGAAGAGGCACTTTAAGTATACTAGATTTTCCAATCCAATAATTTGTAGAACTACATAGTTATTATTAAACTAACGAGCTTGTCAGTTTATTTTTAGGATTGTTTTTATTCTTTGTGGTTAGTGGGGACCCCTTTTCTGGGAATCTCCCCTCCCACATATTTTCTTACTAATTATCACTGGTTTAGTAAAGAATAGTTGCTAAATGTATCTCTCATCTTTTAATATACTATTCCCTCCAGCTTCTGTGATGTTATTCTGTCCACAGAGACTCCGTCTGTTCAAGCATCATTTATCGTTCATTTAGTGCAAAAATTATTAAATTACCGCATGTACTATGGGTACAAAAGTGAGTAAGGTGGGCAAGTTCCTCACCTTGATGCAATGAACTGTGTACAGAAGGAGACACAATGAAGTAAGCACCGACATAACTACACAACAAGCAGGTGCCAGCACAGCAGCTAAGAAACATGGGTTGTCTACACGCCATGCCAGAGCGCCTGGGTTGAAGTCCTGACTTGGTACCTGCCTCCAGCCCCAGGCTGATGTGCACTCTGGGGGGTGGCAGGCAAAGGCCCCGATGCTTGGGCTGCTGGCACTCACCTGGGAAGCTCAGATGGAGTTCCAGGCTCTCAGTTTTGACTCGGTTTAACCCTGTTACTGCAAAAATTTCGGGAGCGGGCCACTGGATAGAAAATCTCTCTCTCTCCTCTGCCTTTACAAATAAATTTTAAAAATAAAAAAAAGAAATGACTATATAATTATAAATTAAGGTAAGCAGTATGTGTGTGAGCGTATAAGGATCTGCATCTGTATGGACACTGGTACAGAGGGCTCTCTATCCATTGGCTCCGTCTGTATTTGTAGATTCAACCAACTGTGGATTAAACATATTCATGAGAAATAACTGAATCTGTACTAAATATGCAGATTTTTTCCTTATTATTTCTTATATACCATAGTGTAACAACTGCTTACATTTCATCAGGAGTTAATTTAAAGTATAGGAGAATGTACACAGGCCTAATGCTATGTACTATACCAATCAAAGGACTTCAGCATCTGCAGATTTTGCTAACATAGTAGGCCCTAGACCCAAACCCCAGGGACACTAAGTGGCTGCTAACACACACCCAGATCCTGCTGCACGCCCAGCAAAGAAGACTACAGGTCACTACACTACAGGTCAACTCAGAGGCCTAGTGTCTGCAACTTGATGTATCAACAGATTGAAAAAATTACCCTGCAATCTGAAAAGAAGAGGACCAACACTAATTCATATTTCAAGTCAATAAACTGCAGTGTTATTTTTGCAGGATAGATTCTCTGAATACTGTTAAGATAATGATTTATAAGTTCTGCATAAACTAGAACTATATTCCCAAATATGTGTTAGAGATCATTGGTGCTGCTCTGCATTTTGAGTACTAATACATGATTAATAAGTGTAAGTGGCAAATATGTAGACAAAAGAGAGAAATATCCAGGAAGAAAAAAATATGAATATGCTGTACATTTGAAAAAACACAATAAAGACATCTGTATTCTCAATATATTCTTGGTCCTCAGAATTTGTATTTTGCGTTCAAGTGTGACAGCATTCTGTTTTCCTAACCTTTATCCCTGCAAGATACTTCGAGTCACGACACTCTAAATTCATGCCAGTAGAAAATAAAGGTAACAAACTTTTCTTCATCAGCAGCCTGTAGGCTCACAAAATTGAACCTGTTCTTTTATCTGCCTGTGTTCATTTAGCTCACCAAGCAGTCTTTATTAAAGCCGAGACATCAGGCAGTCAAAGTTCATTAATACCATTTATATAATCTCTGCAGTTTCAATTAACTCAGCAAGACACTCTACTACATGATAACAGTCTCATTAATTCAATAAAATCCCATAACTATTAACAATATGGTCGATGTTAAACGGGGTGTCACCTAGTACAAAATAATAGCTTTAACAGCTTGTGAGGAAACTCAAGTTTTTTTTCTTAAATTTGATCTGGCTAAATATTCAATCCTTCTACAATAAAGTATTAGCTCTCTGTAAGGAATCTGAAGAATTTTAAATGTGTACACGGAGAAATTCTTTTTAAGTGACACTTAACAGCAAGCTCAGTTGTTACTTAATAATCGATGGACTTAGTCTAAAGTATCCAAAGTCGAATTGTCCATATTTCCATTTAGTCTCCCACGCAAGTGGAGTGGGCCTCACACATCACAAATGGTGGGTCACATGCAGCAGCAATGTCTCGTGAACTTGTTGCCGCTGTTGGCAGACTTTACTGCAGTAAAATAGGAAAATAGATGTGTAACACGGGATAATTTCATACCTTCTTGCTTCACTGTTACCAAATCTTTTACTTTGAGGTATTTTCAAATGTTTAAAAGAGTACAGAGCACAATTAGCAGACAGCTTTAGAATAAATGACAACTCATTGTGAAAAGAGTAGAAAAAACATTCTAGATCCTTCACAAAGATCCCAAGATACTACAAACTAATGCTGCTGCCGACCCTCACTCTGTGCCAACCCCCACTCTGTGCCGACCCCCACACCGTGCCGACCCCTACACCGTGCCGACCCCTACACCGTGCCGACCCCCACACCGTGCCGACCCCTACACTGCGTCGGGAGCATCCATGGACAGTCTGGGCTGAGGCCGTTCTGAACACCACTTTGGGTTTTGTTACAAAGACACCTGCAGCAGCCTCTGCTTAGGCTTGTCTACCTTTTCTCCTTATGAACTTTAGAGCTTGCACATAGCTTGTGGATAACACCATTTTGTTTACAAAGGACTCTCCTATGTGAAATGAAACAAAATGCATTCTACATTGTTTCTAGTATTTGTACATATTTTTAGTTTTCATTTGTGTCTTTACTCCATCTGGAGTTTTTCACCAATAAAGACATAACTCAAACCTTACCTATCAGCTATAATTACAACATTCTTAGTAGTTTACTAAGATCCCATGCATAAGAACTTATTCTCACTTTGCTCTAATGAAATGTTGATTTACATAAAACCTCCATTACTTGGAACCAAACATTTTTTATAGATGTTTTAATATCTTCTTTTACCAACCTTTCCTTTCCTGAATTCAGTGAAAAATGAACATACTTAATAATTACACTAAAACTGGACCTGGTACGACAGCCTAGTAGCTAGAGTCCTTGCCTTGCCAGCACCGGGATCTCATATGGACGTAGTTTATGTCCTGGCTGCTCCACTTCCTTTCCATCTCTCTGTTTGTGGCCTGGGAAAGCAGTAGAAGATAGCCCCAAACCGTGGGACCCTGCATCCACATGGGAGCCCCAGAAGAAGCTCCTGGCTCCTGGCTTCAGATCAGCTCAGCTTGGTCTGCTGAGCTGAGCCACTTGGGGAGTGAACCCGAGGATGGAAGATCTTTCTGTCTCTCCTTCTCTCTGTATATCAGACTTTCCAATAAAAAATAAATCTTTAAAAAATGATTACAACAGAATTAACAATGACCACAACCACCAATATGAATCTTTGGTGAGCTTTATATATTCTTAACCTAAGAATACTGATATTGTCCTCACTTTACACAAACTGAGTAAGTAAAAGCATACAAGTCTAATACTTACTCATAAAAAGACTATTAACGAAGCTAAGTAAATTTCTTAATATACAACTGGTAAATGGAGGAGCTGAGATTCTAATAAAGCTATGTGATTATGGATCCAGTGCTTTTAATCACTAAGCTCCATTACAATTGTCAAATAACTATAAAGGTTTGAGGCACTTAATTTAAAATAACTGGTTTAGCTTTCTATCTCAATAAAACAAAACAGGAAGAACAACAACAATAACAAACAACAAAAATCCCACCTACCCTAATTAAATTATCACTGAAATGATAATATACTTACATATTAATTTGGAAAGCAAAAATATTTTTAAAATTTTCAATCTAAAATATGCTATAATTTATCTGTTTATTCAAGTTCTACTTCATAGCTCTTAAAATATTTATATGGTTTTGGTTGTCATTTAATAGGATATACTTTTTCATTTTCAATCCTAAAAAGCTACTGTTTAGCATGTAATTAAAATAAAGACATGTTGGTAATATTAAAAATAATTTCCTTTGGGTATTCTATATATACAATAATAATGACTATATTTTTCATTATAATGATAATCTGACTCAGTTTAATATCCTTACATGTGTCAAGTGTATTTCAAATTAAATACATTGCTTCTATTACAGGTATATTCTGTTACATTACACTGAATTTCTGTGATCAATTAGGTATACATAATTGCTAGATAATGTATTAATTTAGTTTAAATTGCCACAATATGTATTTGGAGAAATACATGAAAGTCTATGTATGTGTGATTGTATTGAAATATCACAGCCTTAAGTAGAAAACCTAGCCATGCCTTTATTTATCAAAAATACACACCCTTCAGTAAAAATAAAACAACTCAATAACATTAAATTTAGTCAAAGAATCCATGTATAAATTTCAAAAAATTTAAGCAAAGTTTCCAAACTTCTATTACTAGTCAGCTTTAAAGAAGAATGTGACACTTAATTTTTTTTTAATGACATGTTACATATTTATAAGCAGAGCACTTTGAAATAGTATTTAGACCCACAACTCTGAAGTTTTATTAGAGTACTGACTTTAAAGATGGTGTTTATAAACAAACTCCCAAAAGTTGAAAAGACTGAACACCGTACAGGGAAGACAATTTGCTGGAATGTCTTCTAATGGGGAAGACACACGTGTGCTTCAATGAGTTTACTCTTCTCACCAAGCAGCTGACAAGCAGCTTGTCAATTGCTTTAGCATTCTAATACAACTTCGGATACAATAAAGGCTGCATTATTGCTCTATCATTTGTCAAGCTGTATAGAAAATTTTGAGTCAATAGATGCCACCTGTAAGATATTTTCATTACCTGTTTATAAAGCAACTGCTCATTTTCTCTAGCATAACAGAAAAGAACATCTGTAAGAATTTTTCTCACATTTTCTTGTTGGAAAAACTGCATTTCAGGAAACCTGGAAAAAGAAAGCACAGTATTGAAACTGACAAGCATGGCTTTGAGAATCACTACCAAATTCTCATCTCTAAGGTTGCTGCAAGATTTAAAATGAGGCTCCACTGGCCAGACAACTTGGCACGGCTGAGAAGTGGAGAAAAAAGGAAAATCATTACAGTGCAAAGGTAAATGATAGTCAGCATGGAAACATTTCCAAATTTTCATATACTTAAAAGTCCCACATAAATGAATACTGCCATTTTTAAAGAAAATTGCAGTCCGTGTATCTCGGGGGTGGAGAGTTGTGCGGTTTTAGCTCATAAAGTTTTGATTCCTCGAAAGAGATTTTGCGAAAGTAGCAACTTTTTCAAGAAATCACTGTCATTTTTTCCTTATTGCAAATATCACAGCATCAAATATTACATATGATCACACTGTAAGCCTCAAGGCATTAAAATGTAAACTTCAAATGGAACTAAAGTTACTAAGCATTATTGAAATTCCATCAGCTGTCCTGACGTAACGTGACACAGACAAAGGATGGGGCACTTCCTGAAGAGCTCAGGTTGTTGCTCACAACATGATCATACAGCAGTGCAGAGGTCAAGGGTCAAAACCACAGCAGAGCAGGACCCGGTGCACAGGAGGGAAAGTCAGTTCAGGGTTAACCAGCTCACCAGAGTCAACCCTAGAAGGTTGGAACATCAATTTTTCGGCAAGGAATTGACATGGGACATCAATGGGGAAAGTCAAGGGATCAGAAGGAAGATGAAATCATAAATACAAATGAAGATTCCCAGCATGCAACACAGCACGGTCATTAGTAATCAGCAAGCAAAATGGATCTCTATGCAGTCATGCTATTTTAGGAACAGGACAGCTGGACGTAAGAAAAGGTGGGGAGCCCCGGGCACTAAATTTGCAGCTGGAGCACTACACAGAGACTCCACATGTTTGAACAAAGGAACAATAAAGGAGTGCTTGATAACTCAACTTGGAATAAGCGGGAGAGTAGAGTTTCTAGGAAGGACTCAGGTGACACAGTCAGAAGCCTCAACAGAAAAGCTGACATTTCAATTCAAGCTCGTGAAGCACAATTCTTCACTACGCAACCTAAGCCAGTGATGCTCAATTACTCCATCTATTAAGCAGGGAACAACAACACTGAGCTTGTTTTGAAGATGAGAGCATGTGAAAGCATTAAGGACAGTACTTGACAAATAGCTTAAGCTCAGAAATACGGGTTGTTATTAGTATCTTATAATGTTAGTTCAAATGATAAAAATAAATAGATTTAAAACTAAAACCTTTCTTAAAAATGAAAACATGAGACTGGAGTTACGTGACATTATCAAAACGGAAAAACTTTAATGAGTTTTTTAAACAGACTGACAGTGGCTATTTCTATAATAGTCATTACAATATGAAGGAAAGCTCTCCTCTATGTGGAGATCTCTGTTGTTTTATAATTCATCCTGATCTGTTGTTGGGTTCTTATGAAGTTGTTCTAGGTGATTTTATGTGTTCCCTTCCCTGCTGATTCTTTGGAAATTTTCTTTTTGTTGTTGTTAAAGATTTATTTATTTATTTGGAAATCAGAGTTACAGAGAGAGGAAAAAAGATGAGAGCTATATTCATTTCACTGGTTCACTTTCCAAATGGTCACAAAGTCAGAAGAAATGGTCCAGAGCTTCTTTTGGCTCTCCCAACTAGGTGGGCCACAGTCCACTGCTTTTCACTAGCCATTAGCAGAGAGCTGGACTGGAGATGGAGCAGACACAATCTGACCCACATCCACATGCCATGCCAGCACTGCAGGCAGTGGCTTATCCCACTATCCCACCTATCTCTCCTTAGCCATTCTGTAACTCTGCATTTCAAATAATTAAACTAAATCATAAAAGAGTCTTAACAATTTTAAAAAACCCTAAAATTATACCTACTATATGATCCAGCAATACTTCTTCAAGGTTTTTACTGAAATCAGTTTGTGGAATAGATATCTGTCTATCAATACTCACTACCCCACTGTTCACAACAGCCAACTTGTGAAATCAGCGTAGGTCCATTAAGTGGGCAAATGGATAAAGAAAATGTGTCTGTGTGTGTGTATAAAAGCGTATAGTATTGAACCTCTAAAAAAATCTATCATTTCTGACAAGATGGATGGAATTGGAGAACATTATGGTAAATAAAATAAGCCAAACACAAAGTGACAAACGATCATCTTCTTGGTAAAATGTGGAAGCTAAAACAGCGGAACTCACAGGAGAGAGGGCAGAGCGGCGGCCCGGAGCCTGGGGCGGGCACTCGGGAGCTGCCGTTTAGTGAGCACCGAGTCCCTGGCAGGCTGTTTTATTGTCTGAGCTCTACTACAGAGCACCATGACCGAGCTGATCAGTGAGTCTTATTTCAACATCACCAAGAGAATAAACCTCAAATGTTCTCATCATGAGAAAATTCAGTTGTTTGTGATGGAGAAGTTAGTTTTATTCAAGCATTATATACTGTATTCACAAATCACAACCTCACTTCATAGGTCATAAATACACATAATTATAACTTATCACTACAGTAACAAAAGAAAAATACATAAACAAAAATTAATTATACTGAAATATAATTATCATCTATCTAAAAAAAAACTGCAGGAAGAAAAAAAAACATAATAGGTATCACAAATGCTTGAGTTTTCTGTGGAAACAGATCAAAATTGGGATAATGATATAATTTTTGATAAATTTCAAACATCTTTCATCAAGAAAAACACAAACATTAATGCAAGAGACAAAATAGAACTCCAATGTATCCATTAAAGCAGCTCTACCATTAATCAACTCATGCTGTGTGTGTCCCTCCCCATTGCTGCATTAGTCTGAAACTAACTCTAGCCCTCACTTCTACCAACATCACAATTGCAGCTGTGAAATGTAGACACTTTTGAAACACATAACCGGAGTATCATTATAACACCACTAAGGAAAAAAAAAAACATTAACTTAATCAAACATCTAGACAACTTTCAAATTTCTCTAATTTGCCCCAAATTTTGATTAATTTGTTTCAGAACTAAGTGATATATGTTGACTATAATTTGTTATCACGTTTCTTGTTTGTTCTTGTAGACTTGTCCTTTCTTTCATGCAAAACGCCTTATTATTCATGCAGGAGAGCCTATTCTCTTTCAGGTCTCCTGAGTCAGTGTGAGGGAACGGTCAAGAAGTGAGGAGCACAGGGCACTGCACAGTGATTTCAGGGCCTCATCAAACAGCCACCCCGCCTCAGAGGAACGAGAGACCGAGGAGCGCACTGCTCCAGCGGAATATAAACAAAGAGAAGGCGCACAATGGCCATGGATATCGGTCAGAAAGAGTTGTATGACAACAAAGACACAAAAAGTAACATTTTCAATGCAAGAAAAGGGTTAAGAAAAGAGCAAAAATGATAAAGGGCTTTGTTACCACATTATAGTACATAATTAGGTAATTAGAAGTATTAAAACAGACAAAGCATTGGGCCCAGATGAATTACTGAAGACGTAAGTATTCAATAAGATGCCCCAGGGGAAAAAATAAAGCCCTTGGTGAGGGTTTATAACCATGCAGTAGGACAAAGGAGCACTGGAGGACTTGAACGAACAATAACTGATGCTATGCCCATATTTCAAAAACACAAAATCAAAACAAGCACTCATCCAAAATTTAAAATGAGCTGATAAAACTCCCTTGAATATTATTAAACACCAAATAACTATAATACCTCAGTGTGGGTTATTGTTTGTTGTGAAGCAAAACTGAAAAATCAAGCCAAACCATTAAGTGGGACAATGTGACACAGAACAAAAGCAGATACACCACGTTCTGTTCTCTTCCGGTGTCAGACATCCCACTCTTCCCACTCAGCCGCATCCCTCTTCTCTCCTCCCTGGGATCACAGTTGGATTTACTCCCCTGGTTACATTTCCGGTTACTTGTAGAATACCTCACTGCGACCTCAGCAACAGAATGAGAGAGGAAGTTGGGATTGATCACAAACTCCTCCTCACCCCAATCACCCAGGGAAGGAACCTGCACACTTCCTCTTTTAGCAGGTGGGATGCAAGTGACCCCAGGGAGATCTGAGAAGCTGGAGGGGACTGTGCGGAGGAAAGGTGTGTCTCAGTCTCTTCAGCGGGGGGTTGACATGTTGGGACAATCACTCTCCCTGCTACAGTGCACGGGTTCAACACCCGGCTCTGGCTCCTGGCTTCAGCTTGCTACTGGCACAGAAACCTGGAGGCAACACTGACGGCTTAAGGACCGGGTTCCTTCTCCCCACCTGGGAGACCTGATTGAGCTCCTGTCTCCTTTGGTCCCCTGTCTAAGGCTGTTTCAAGTATCAGGACAGTGTTCTCAGTGGATTGGAACACACCCTGTGGACCTGTTTAACTCTCAAATAAATAACACAAAAACAATTAAAAAAAAAAAAACACCTACAGGTTCCTCACCATACCTCCTTTCTGAGGTTAAGGCATGTAGACAAGGTGGCTTCACCTTGGCTGGCTCCCTTACCTTCCTGGATTAGTTACTCTGCATGAAGTATCTTTCCTGCAGGACACAATCACCTTCATGGTCACATCCCCATTAAGAAGAACCAATGTGGATCCTCAGCCCTACACAGGCTGTCACGTCTGCAGGTGTCTGCCTGCAATCTCGTGACACACTCATAAACTCGGATCTCCCAGCTAAGTTTCTCCCAAATCCACGATCTGAAGCAATTATGATATAATAAGCTAAACTAAACTAAAATGAAATACAATGGGACTAAATAGAAATCAGAAGGATTTTCAGTAGATTATCAGTGAAAAATTGAAGGGTAAGGAGGAGACTATTAGAGAAAGACTGCCCTGGAGCAGAAAGGGCTTAGATGAAAGTGAGGAAGACCATATGGGGGAAATGAAGGGAAATTGTCCCCTATTACACAGTTACAGAAAGTCTATCAACAGGTGTCTTCTGGTTAAACAAAAAAATAGAAAATACA